AAAAAATAAACAATAGATAAAAGGTTAGAAGTAATTAGGCCTTTGCTACACACTTGATAAGGGTTAGAAGCAATTAGGCCTTAGGTACAGGCCTGGTCCTTCAGGCTACACTATCACTCAACAACCCCTCACCAGCCCAGAGGGGGAATCAGGAAAAGGCGAGCAGACCCGTGGGTTAAGTGGAGACAGCTGTAATGAAACAGCACCACTGCCAGCCAGGGAATGCAGTTAAGAGTCAGCCAAGCGAATATGCGACAGGAGAGCAGTCCTCAGGAGCGGGGAGAAGCCAGAGGGGGAGCAGGAGGAACCCCAGCAGGACACCAGCCAGACCCCAGCAGGAACCCCACAGGAGCTCCCCTTCCTCAGCCAACCTTCCCCCTTTACAATGACCGTGACATTATGGGATGGGCTACACCTGTAGGTAACTCAGGTCAGCTGGTGGTGATGAATTTTTCAAACAGGGGCATAAAGAATAAGAAAGGTATCATATTATGTACACGCAGTAAACAGTCTGTGCTTCTAATCTCACTGTCATCTGAAAGTATATTTTCCATAGCTCTTTTATGGGGAAACACATGGAATGGTTAGATTAAGGGTTACTTAGAAAGACAAAACTGCTTGCACAACTGTATCTGACTATATAGAGGACAAGCAGAAATGTCTCAAGATGAAGCAGCAAGGCAACATTTAAAACAAGTGTATTTTTAAAAATGTTTATTGAAATGCCTTCATTGCATCATGCAGGATACAAAAATCATTATTAGAAAACCTTTATAACCATACTTAGGAGTAAAATCAAGATACATCAGGAAAAATAATAATTATATGAACCGAAGCAATTTATTTCAGATAGTGTTTTAAATCATTAGATTACAAGCTGTGATCTGCACAGATGATAACAATTACCTTGCAGTAACAGTCTCTTCTTTCATGATTCAAGTCAAACTGATGTTCATCATGCTGGAGCAAGCATATCACCTGTGTGTACCACAAAAAATTCACCCCGTTCATTACAGATACAGAGTTTTAAAGGTATAACAAAAATATTTTGCCAGCATACTTCTATTCTGCTTTCAGTTTTTTATTTGTCCATCAAAAGCCATTAAGTTCTCATCAAGAAAAAAAAAAGCTAATGTGCTCTCTTCTATTACACATAGCATGTAAGTTTTGATTACTGAAATAGAACCTCTTTAAAGTCATATTGTAAGAGACTCTCTTGAAGGTCAGTTCAATTAAATAATTTATTTTTGGATTGGATTTTGCGGTCCAATATTTGCAATATACTCAAGGATTTGGGTGACCACTGCACCTTCAGTATTTTTGTTGTTTTAGGAATCTCAGTCTCTGCTATTTAAAATGTTCAGGGTCTTTTATTTGTACACTGCTTAGAAAACTCTAAGAATTTGCCTCTCTTTTTGTTCTATTTGGTTATTCTGTGCAGAAAGGCATTTAAAAAAAAAACAAAAACAAAAAACAAACAAACAAAAACCAAACCAAAACTCTCCAGGGCTGAAAACTTGACTCCAAAGAATTTAAATAGGTAGAGATTTTGATGGGGACCAACGTTTGAGAGGTTTCAGTAGCACATTCACTTGGCACAGAGTAAGGTTAGAACCACACTGGGATCTTACTACATAAAACAAAAATCACTGTAGGCTCTAGAATCACCTCATCCTATTCAACAGGGAAGACCAAGAAAATGCTTCCTTTTGAGGAGGTTACCACACGTGTTTACATTTCATATTCTTGTGAAAAAATGCATCTTTATAGTGCTATCCTTCTCTTTTTTTTGTTGAGCTCCATAGATGCAGTCTTTAAACACACAGTTGGTGTCACTGAGTGTTTGAACACACAGAATATTCTAACAATTTAATTACATTAAAAGTTGTGAAGAGTTTTGGCACTGTCCCCTTACAGGAAGTTAGGTACAACTAACAATAAGAAAACATTATGAGAAGGGAATCGTGTAACTCTTTGGCTCTGTTGTAATACTTAACTACTAAGGCAAGAACCGTGTGTACCTTAGGGTTGCTTTTTTGTTTGTATTTTTATAAAATACTTGACTAAAAGTTTTAAAAAGTCACCTAGTAATCTATAAATGTCAAATGCCGCATATTAAAATATATGCTTGTTACGCCTTTTTGTTCCATTACTAGAATTTTTGCATACTGATGAGAACACACGCATTTGTAAACTGTTTAGTATGAGTTTATTCTCCATATAAGAGAATTTGTCGAACATGGTCATTGAATCAAGATCCCATAATTGAAATTGCCTGATTAACCATTTTGGAGCACTACGATTCTCTCAACGGCTTTAGCTCTTCCATTCCTATACAGATCAACGAAAACAAGTAACAACCCCCTCCCCCTCTTCAATGCATGGGTAAACCCCTCTCACGCTGAGGTTTCGGGTGCACATCATAAGGAGGACATTTCAGAGTATTCACTGGCTTTTCAGATTTCACTACATATGGCTAACTTCAGACGTTACATTATTGCAATATGCCCTGTTGCCCCCTTGTCTTATAACATGAAGTGGGTGTAGCCTTCTGCGCCTGTAACGATGACATCCATCCATATCCTCATGGCTTCTGGCGAAGGAGCAACCATATAGTATATCCGGTCATGTGTCTTAACACTGAAAGTGAGCAACGGGTTGGGACTCTAAAATAAAACAGAAAGAAGGATATCAAAAGGAGGAAATCAAAGCCATTTATTGGTACCAGAAGGGAAATTACTTACGGGGAGATTTACGGCAGGGTTAAGGAGAAACATGAAAAGCAAAATGCTGTGCCCACTGCATCCTGCATCACAGCACTGGAAGCAGAGACGTGTTTAAAGTGTTTGTGTCCACCATAAACACTTCTTAGAACGTATTTCCACTGGACTGTTACGCAGTAGTACAGGGCTTCAAACTGTTGTTTCATGCCCAGTTAACCAAATACCCCCCTCTGTCCAGTGGTCAAAACCACTTCGGCTTTCACAAATGCACGTGCCAAGGTTATATTCAGCTTGTTCACAGCTCATTTAAATTACAGGTGAGAGGCAGGGGGTGCCACGAGCTGCCTCCACCAGTTAACTCTCTTTTTGTGACAGACACACAGAACTATCCCTTCATTTGCCAAAACCACTGGTTTCAGTGGTCTTGCCACTGGACTATGGAATTCCTTGCAGCAAATCCCACTTGGCAGGCAGATACTTTTATCTTTGCTTTCATCAGTATGAAAAAACCAAACAGTGCTAATCACTGATCTGGCTTCACCTTCCTTTTCCTCCACTATGCATTTGTTTTGGGTTTTGGTTTTTGTTTTGGTTTGGTGTTTTGTTTTTTTTTTTCTCTAATAATCAGCTCACCCTTTGACTTCACCATACCAAGCTACCATACTTTGGGTACTGCTATATGATAGTTAAAACAACAATAACAAAGTTTACCTTATATGCATTCTTTAGATGATCATAATAGACTTCTTCAATAGCTTGAAAATATATTACACCTTTTAATTTAGTTTCATGTTTGTCTGAAATGGAAAAAGAGAGAATGACTTGAGAACTGAAATGAACAGTACTTCCAAGAAGCAAAAGCTTAATTTGCATTTCCGTATGTGTTCAGCTGATAAGTAACTGGATTAACACTACTGCTTGTGAAATCCCACAGAAATCTCCAACTTTTCTTACTAGTTGGTTGGTTTTGTTGAGAGATGCATTTCCTACTTTAATATTAGTTTTCTTTTCCACCTGGTTTCCAAGGAAATAAAGCTTTTGCAATTTCCTCATCTATTTGCAAGTCACTCCCTTCACTGAGGGGTCTAAACATTACGGCCAATGTAAGCCAACAGAAGGACAGCTGTCTGAGATACATCCAATCTTCCAATTCCGTGAAAGCCAGCCAGACTTCACAGAGCTCACAGGCTGAGACCTCCAGCTTGCCTTCAAAGGAAAACAGTCATGATAAGGAAATTTGAAATACAATTTAATAGCAAAAGCTTTACATTAGGACATCATTTGTGTTTGTACTCGTTAAAAAAAAAATGCTTCTTCCCATTTATAATAATCTCCCTCAGTCTCAAGCTAGTATATATTATTCAGATGTGAGGTTAGCAGATTGCAGGCAAGTTTCTATGAGCTCTGACACATGGAGAAGTTTACAGGAGGTTAAAAACTCCTGGGCACCAGCTGCAACATTGTAGTTGTCTGTTTGCACTCTCCTACTCTTCCACTCAAGGTAAAAGCCAAATTAATTAGACCCCGTTTGCCCCTGTTGTGAAAGGGAACTCCCTATTTGCTTCTGAGTGCCGGAGGTAAGAATGTCTGTATGGGTAGTTACTCCAGGGAGGTTGCTAACAAGGAGTAGGTTGTTACCCAGGGGTACTGTGTTTCTGGTACCAATATCCCACTGCAGCAAAGCGGGAAACAGGGTGGGAGTCTTCTCGCTTAAGTTTTGGTATCTTACAATGGAGACGCAGCTGACTTAATCTCCCTTTAAAGGCAATGGAAAGAAACAGACGCTTGGAGGGGGTCAATTCTAAACTATATTAGACATCTTCAGATATTGCCTTCTGTCCCAGCATCAGCTAGTGAATCATTCGGGCAGGGAGGATACAGACTGTGAACTTAACATCTTAACAGTCACAACTATAATACTTCACAAGAAGGAGGATCAGGGCAGATAAGCATCTACACTACCCTCCATTTTCCTGCAGAGAATTTGTTAAATAAGCCCAGAGGGTGTTAAGAAGCGTTACAATTGCAAGTCACACTGAACGGCAAACTTCCCTCCACTCCCAGTACATTTTTATTGGCAAAATATAATGCCTTCTGACCCCAAGTTAGTATCACCTTAACACTGAACAGTCATGCAGAACATCTTTATCAGTCCCAGCACAGATTCTGCCGTCATTTTGAATGCTAACAAAACTCAGTTTACATCCTATCGGTAGCTGCAGCCAGTTTCATATGATGGCAAAAAGAAATCCCAGAGACCAAACGATACAGCGTTGGGAATCTCCCTGGCAGCCTCAGGGGACCAGTAGAAGTACTGAGGTACAAGATTATGACATTATAGCAGACATTATACTAAGCTAAATGCAATACTATACAAGGTGTACTGTCTGTGCAGTACAAGCAAGCAGTGACCCACTCTCCTTTCAAGCCCCACCTGGGGTCTTTGCTACAAGAGCATTTCAGGTAGCCACAAGCTCCCATCGTGACAGTCTTTGTAGAGTTCCCTGTATGTTTAAGGTCAGAAACTGCACATGCTTCAGTCACTGCACTGAATTGTCAGACTGTAGGGTAAGTTATTTGCTCAGTGCACTTGCAGAACTAAAGCAATATACCAGTATATTCACTTAGAGTTCAATTACTCTGAATTTACAGCATCAACATTTATTTTGGAAGTCTACTATACATTTAAAGTTCTAGACAGATTCTCACTCATACAATTATGTTTGTTGGCTGGAGTCCTTGAGACATTAGTAATTGGCATAGCATTATGGCAACTATACTGCACTCAAAACTAAAACTGTTAACTATTAAAACAACTACTAAAAAATAAAAATAAAAATCAGTACCAGATGGGGAACACTACTGTATGTTACAGGCCTTCCTAACCGATAAACCAGATGTTAAGAACAAAATAAGAAAAAGGTTGTCAAATTCTTCATAGTATTACTGCAAACTAGAAAGAAATATTCAGTGGGTATGTAATAAACAAATGTAATTAATTTAGGTATGTGTTTTAAGAAAGACAGACTGAGCAATGCATAACCCTACCATCAATTTTAAGTTCCTTATCAGTTGCTGGAAAGCAGTAATATCATAAAATTGTTTGGGTGGTTTTTGTACTTGATGTTTTCTTCTGCCTCTTAGCAATGACCATGCTACATACGCCCCTGTCTGGCCTCTCCTAACAATAAATATTCAGAACGCAAAGTCATTTTTCTGGCTTCCTCTGAAACTTCACAGTCAAACCATGTAGATTTGCCCAGCAATCAAAAAGACATGAAAGTTCTTAAATTCTAAATTTCTGGGTTTACTCCAAGATATCAAATTAATGTAATGCTTATAATGGCTCTAGATATTGTACAACACAAGTGTACAGAAACGTCTTTAAAGTATTGCGTGTTGTTCATTTGAAATTCCTTAGACTCTCACAATATGGCAAACTCAAAAAGTCTGCTCCTGTATATTTAGCTTCCTGAAAGACTTTTTAGCACATCAAGCAACAGGACTGCAGAAGAATTCCATTTAATTTTCATGGTAAGTATAATAAATTATATTCTTGTATGAAATCATTCTGTCATTGGGGGAAGTATATAATATTTAAAAATAAATTATGTGGAGCCATTATTCTGTGTACTAGGAACCGGATGATCCTCCACTTTTTCCTCTTGCCTATCCACATCTCTCCCTTTGTCTGTTATGCTCAGTTCTGCCTTACCTGGCATTAGGATTGAACACTATAGCAAAGGGATTGCATGAGCTCTAAGTGTACGCGTAAAACGCACACCGAAATGGAAATCTAAGTTTTAATCAGGGCTCCCTACATGTTCCTAACTCAGCTGAGGTTGATAGGAAAACAGGGACGGATGTGCTGTAGTAGTGGTCCTGCAACCTACCTGCATAATAAGTAAAAGTTCTCTTGTTTCTGTCAAAAACAAACCATCGTTTTTTCCATGTTTTAATTTTTCCTCCCATTTTAATCAGAAAGCCTCGGCAGGTCTTCTCCGTGAGGGAGATGTGGTAACAGGTCTCTATGTTGTGACCAGCTGTTTCGATGTGACTTCGCAGGTCAAAGTCTTCCTTTCTAACGGGCAAATAGCGAGTCAAGGGACGGGCCTATAGTAAAGAAAAGAAAATCATATTGTTTTTAACAGAAGTCTTAACTTCTCCTTCACTCTTTCTGCTGCAAGGACATAACTGCAAACTGACCATAGATTCTAAGAATGAACATCAAAAAAAATAAAGAGCTTTTGCTGCAGCCCTAATTTGCTTTAAAAGAAAAATCCTTAAACATGTAACTTTATAAAAGCCAGATTAGAGCATAGGAGTTTCTTGAAATCATCAGTTGATAAGCTAGTAAAATAGGGGCCATGGAATGTACAGGTTGTTTCAGAATTAAAACATTAATTAGATGTATAGGTGTGTTGCTGCTTTAGATGAAGTGCAAGAACCTGATTTGCATGATGTTAAGCAAACCCTTTATTTCTCTGGGATAGATACTCATCACACACATCTCACTCAATATTTTACTCCTACAGGTATTTTCACACAAAGTATAATATAAATAATAAGAGCATGCTATTACAGGAAAAATTAATAATGAGAGTGAACTGTAATCCCTAGGTAGTTTCACAGAGATTGTCGTGCACAAAATAGAATTATTTTCTTCTAAACGAATTAAATGCGGTACCTAGTTCAGAGTTGGCCATATGGTATAGAGAGCTGAAGTGCACCCCCCTGCAAGAGACAGCAAAGCAGCACAGGAAATGATGCAGGACTCTGCATCAAGCCTGGATACTATCAGCTGGGAGAACAAGTAGGAGGAGGTAGTGATTTGGGACCTCTACCAACTGAGGGAATATGCTTGTTTTCTGCGCCTGAAGGGCCTATGCACCAACCCAGCCCCTCATTTTCCACACAGGAGTCTCCCAAGGCTCCTGCTGCAGTCAAGGCAGAGAGAGGCTGCATCACAGGGCAATTTAGAACAGAAGCTGAATTTAGGTGCTTGGAATGACCTGTGAAAAGAGCATCTCCCTCCCGCCACC